TATTTGGAATTTGTGAAGTCCCTATGTCTGGGGCCAGCACTGATCCACACAGCTAAGTTTGCACTTGTCTTCCCTCTCATGTTTCACACCTGGAATGGGATCCGACACTTGGTAAGTTAACTGGGGATTTGCACATATCTGGGGTGAAGGGAGTGGGGAGGCTGGGAGGATTCTCTCTCCTTCATTGCTGGGTTTAGTGTTGTGCTTAAGGTTAGTTGTGCTGGACCTGTATTCAGGGTCCTCTTGGAGAAGGCTAAAAAGACCCTCTGCATTCCTTGGCAGCCCTGCTGGTGGTATAGCTGAGCAATGAGTGTAGGTCTGGCAGATGACTTGCAGGGTCTTAGTGTGAACTCTTCCAGGTTTAAGAGGGATATTATTAAAAGAGACCCCTGAAGCCACATCTAGCATAGAAGACATATTTGTTAGATAAATATTAATTGGTCTCTGTTATGTGTCAGGTACTGTTGTAGACACTGGAGGTTCAATTATGAGCTAGATAAACATGGTTGCTGCTTTCAATATAACATTCCTGTCACCCAGAGTGACAAGTCTGGCTGGACTCAAATATATTGACTTTTATTATCTAGACATTACAATGTGTTAACTGTTTTTGTTTTGAACTGTTGGAAAGAATGGGACCAACTTCAATAGAAACTGGATGCCAAGGATCCCAGGCTCTAATGTTGGATTTAGGAATCTTTTAGTGGATTGAAAACTGTTGCCTCCTGTATGACTCTAGGGTCAGTTCAAAACCGGTGTCTCTCTTCTCTTTGTAAAGGAATTGCAGCTTAATCAAACCTGCCCCAGGTTAGAGATCAGTCCCTCCAGCATTTTGAGATTTCATATTTTGTGATCTCTCTAGCCTTAGTCTTGCCTCCATCTCCAGGAAGACAATTGAAATTCCATTCTTTCTGATTTTCCATTGCTTCTGAACCTGAGCCAACTGTCAAAATGGTTTTTTTGCCTTAATTTGACCTTTTACAACTTCTATATCAGAGCCTTAGAGACGAGTACTTTCTGGATTTAAGTCTGGTCCAATAGACAGTTTAATGGAATCAAAAAAGTGAGAGTCTAAATGACAAATTAAATGTATCTATCAACTGTTCCCTGGTGCAGTGTTCAGTGTGATTTAAAATGACTTTTTACTTCCCTGAGGGGGAAGGGATAGAGAGGGAGGGCATTTGCATTAATGACTTCTTATTCCACAGAACAAAGCTCTGTAAGGAAAATCATCTGATCAGCTTCCTGTTCTCATCCTGGCTCAGGCAAGGACTTGCCCTATGTATTTGCCTTTGTCTCAGTATGGAGGGAGAGGAAGGGAAAAGGTTTTACAAAATCCCAGAACTCAGTCAGGGCTCTTCTGTCCTGGTTTCTACCTGTGATGGTAATCTTTTTGTTCAGAGAAGTAAGGAGGCTAAAGGCCTTTATTATGCCCTTAAATCTGCTTTATTTTTATTTCTAGCGATTACTTGCTCTGAGTGTGGGTCAGGAGTTTATCTGTTTTCTGTGACAGTCATAGTTTTTGGCGTCCGAGCTTGATAGCTGACTTGCCAGAAGGTCTGATAGGGAAGTGGAGAATGAGATTATCGTAAGAGTAGGAAGTTATGGGATCTGTGGCATTCTAGAGAACATCCTCCCTACCACTACCACCCAATAGGACTCGATTTTTTGTAAAACTGCTCATATAAGCAAAACAACTTTTTGTGGAATCTACTTGACTCCTGATCTAGGTAGAAACTATTTGAGGGTTGAGGTGGGGGGCATCTTCTTAGCTTTATTTTTTTTCTGGGCTCTCTCCAACTTTTCTCTGAAGTGACTTCTGATTTAGTCAGTTTTACATTCAGACTGCGGACATATCTGTGTGTGTGTGTGTGTGTGTGTGTGTGTGTGTGTGTGTGTGTGTGTGTGTGTTGAGGCAGCCACGTGTATGGAAAGTGTGGAACCTAAAGAGTCTACTTTTGCCCTAGGGACTCTTCTAGCGATTTAGAGTATAACATGTAATATCTCTAGGGCACAAGAGAGCCTAGATGAGTGTTTTTTAAAATGTGAATTTTGGCCCAATGGGTAGGAAATCAATTTAGTGGTTTGCAACCAACAAAAAAAGAAATTTAAATAGAATAGAAAATATGAAGTGCAGTACATGTTAGTAATGGTAAATACTGTTTATTGTTTCATGAACTATCACTATATTATATATACATATCCACTGGGTTTCAATTTAAGAGATTTCTTAGTTGGGTCACAGTCAAAACAATATTGAGAAATAATGTTCTAGATCCCAAAGAGTATTCTTTAAAATTCTAGTCCTCTAATGGTCAGATGTTCCTTCTAAAAAGAGATTCTGTGATTGATTATATCTAGGAAATCCTGCATGTTATATCCCCCTTTTGGACTTAATTGGACTATTAAGTCACAATGTGCATTAATAAATTGTCTGAAAAGTCCTCCAGTTAAGTGTTTACCAAATTTATTTGATGCAGAACTTTTTTTCCCCCATATGATGCTTTTCAATATTCTGAGGAACTAGTTTTTAGAGGATCACACTTGGGGAAACATTGATCTAGATATGTTGTCATGAGGAAAAGTTCTATCTGTTCAGTCTGGAAGCTTTTGTATACTGTATAGGGTCTGCAGCCTTCTAGAAAATAGTCCCCCTACCACCACAACACAATCGGACTGGATTTTCTGTCATTGGGATAAGTGAGTGGGAGGTACCATATTGTGGGTTTTGAGAAGGGCGAAGGTGGGGCATGAGGATAGAAGTCCTTTTCTCTAGAATCATGCTGAGAGGAGGTGCCTATTCCAGTAGGGAGAATTTCTTCCTGAGAAAGGAACTGTTAGAGTGACCAGAGTCCTGATTACTGAAATTCTTTTTGTTTTCTTTTCCTTTTTCTACAGATGTGGGACCTAGGAAAAGGCCTGAAGATTCCCCAGCTATACCAATCTGGAGTGGTTGTCTTGGTTCTTACTGTGCTGTCCTCTGTAGGGCTGGCAGCCATGTGAAGAGCTGAAGTTCCCAGCATCATCTTCCTACAAATTACGACATTGACTTGTCTTCCTGTTTGTCACTCTTAGCTCCATCCAGGGCAAAGTTCTCTTGATTTGTTTAGATCCTTTTGTGCTTGCAGATCCCCTTGGAGCTCAGTAGCAGTAGAGTACCTTGTAGAACCATAGTAGTGGAAAAGGGTCCAGTTTTCCCCTTCTTTCTAAAGATGGAGTGGCTGCAAAAACTCCCTTTTCCTGCCCACAGCTTGCAGCCTAGCCTGCGCCTAGGAGCGCTTATTCTCTTTCCATATTGGGCTTTGATTTGTGCTGAGGGTCAGCTTTTGGCTCTTTCTTCCTGAGACAGTGGAAACAATGCCAGCACTGTGGCCTCTGCTCTGGGGACTGGGGGTGAAACTTTGGGTGCCACTGCCTGTGGGTTGCTGGCTTAAAGGACAGTTCTGTTCTTTGGTGAGAGCCCAGGCTTTTAACACCTACACAGTATGACTGAAAGAAGAGAGGTGGGGGTGGAGGGGAATTAGCCTGTCCAGGGAGGGAGATAAAGAGGGTGAGTTGGTTCTTAGAACAGGTGCTTTGGGGAGAAAATTTACAGCTTTTGATGTAAGATGAAGATCTAGAAAATTATCATTTAACATATTAAGGGTTATTTCTTTTTCCTACATTTTTGGAAAAACAAACCTCTTAATTTCATGTTTTCTCATCCAAGTTCATGTATCTTTTCTGCAACTGAATTAAAATACTCATTTTACCTTTGACTCTCCTTGAAATCTAGAGAAACCAAGAGAATGGCTGCTGGGGAGGAGCCAATTTCCTCCCCCTTGCTTAGGACTCAGGCATTTACACACACCCCCAACCCAATCTGCCATCTGACCTTTCCCAGGAAGAACACAGTTTGTCCTACAGCTGACCACTGGAAAAATTTTCAGGCAATCGAATACAAGTTAGAGATTTAAATATCTCAGAGAAGGAAGGAGAAAAGGAAAGGAAGTTAAGCATGTAGAGAGCTTTTGGGTTGTTACAGGCTCTAAAATTCCATTAAGGACTTACATACGTCTCATGGTACAGTTCAGCAAATTGTGATCTAGTGGGGGATATGGAGGACCACTGGAGGTGGATGCTAAGGGATGGTGACCTAAAGGTACAGATTTGGGGAGAAAGGAGAGTAGAGATTAAAAAAGAAGGGATTGTTGGGAATCTGGCAAAAAAATTATAATTTAATGAGAAAACTTGCTGCTTTTATAATCCAGATAGGCTAGGCTTTTGGGTCCCTAAATCCCTTGGCAGGCTTGCTGTTTTGATAGTCTTTGGGAACTCTGGGGTAAGAGATCTGTCTTTTCTGTCACTTTGAGTTGTTGGCCAACTAGTTAAAGCCATGGGTTGAAGAGGAGTCTTAATGACTCTAGCTGGAGTCAGTTGGATAGGAAGACCTTACTTCTTAAGCCAAGACAGTGGGAACTTGCTGCCTCCACGGAGTCTTCATCCCAGCTCCCAGGTAGTCTTTGGCCCTAAGTACTGATCGCTTCTCCCTTTTGGCTATACTGGCCCTGGGAAGTCTTTGTAGCCTTCTACCAGTTTACACCAGCTGTCCTCTTCTTTGTCCTTGGAGTGAGGGATAAGTGTTCTGAGAGAACACTTTGGCATGGGGACCAGAAAAGGTTTGGCAAGGGCATTAAATTTAACAGCCAGTGCCAGAAAAATGCAAAATGGGGTCAATGATAAACAGATGTTGGAGGCTGGAAAATGGATAAGGGACGTTTTTTGGTGTTTTCTTACCATTCAGGTGATTGAAGGGGGGGGTCTGTGACAGAACATCGTGTTTGTTATTCTGCCCTAAATGCCCTACATTTCTACTTAGCATTTTTTTTTTTTTTGAGACAGTCTCATTCTGTCATTCTGGGTAGAGTGCAGTAGTGTCATCATAGCTCACTGCAACCTCAAACTCCTAGGCCCAAGCCATCCTCCTGCCTCAGCCTCCTGGGTAGCTGGGACTACAGACACGTACCACCATGCCCGGCTAATTTTTCTATTTTTTGTGGACATGGGGTCTCACTCTTGCTCAGGCTAGTCTCAAACTCCTGACCTCAAGCAGTCCTCCCACCTTGGCCTTCCAGGGTGCTAGGATTACAGGCGTGAGCCTGGCCCTCTATTTACCATCTTAATTTTTCTTCTCTGTCTTCCAATCCCTTCCATATCTTCAGTTTTCAGACTGTGTTTATACTTCTGCTCAGATAGAAAGTCTTAGGCAAGGATAGTATCTTCTGCTTTTCGACTTTGGCTTTCCTTTTCTTCCCCACCTTCTCCAAACACACATACACATGCTCTATTAAACAATTCTGCTTCTGATTTTGAAGTTGTTAGTTGTGTATGCCTAGGATGAAAAATGAGTGGGTAGGGGTGAGAGACTGGTTCCTTGAGGTGATTCTGATCAACTTTCTCTTTGTCATTTCTGGAGTGTAACTGACTCAGGTCTTGTAGAAGTGTGTTCCACCCAGAACCACTGTCATGTTCTTTTCCCTACTCTATCCCCTCTCCCCCACCTTCCTTCTCCTAATTATGTGTCACAAGAGGCAGCCGTAACAGGAAGAGAAAATCCAGATCAGTAAAAGATTCAACAAACCATGTTTATTTTCCAAATTAGCTTTTACTCTCACCCCATGATTTCCCTGTTCCACAGTCCTGACTAGGGTGTCTTGTTTACTTCATTCACTCAATCTCTAGACAGGTTTTCTCAGTATGGCCCCTTGGTTCCTTCTGAAGTTCCAGGTTTGTATTTCTGGACCTCAGCTAGATTAGGACCTGCCCACTGTTCTAATGGGCTTCCAGGTGGGCTCTTAGGAGATTTGGCTGGGCTTCGGGGACCTGGAGTGTGACCTGCAGAGGGGTGTGAGCCTTGGAGTTCATCTGGGGAATTGAGGCTGGCAGCTGGGGAGCATGGAATTATAGTTGGACTTGGTGCTTGTTGTACAGTCTTTGTGATACACTTCTTCCCGAGTTTCTTCTGACTGTCTGGATCATGGGGCTGTCGGTGGTACAGTGGAAGAGACAAGCATGTTTCTGGTCAGGCCCAGAGCATTCCCAGTGATTTGAGAATTCTAACTGCCTTTCTCCCCATACCATGGGCAACAGGTCAAGTTTCAAATAAGAAGAGTTAAATTTGATTTCCCTTAAACTCTCCTTGAGATTAGATCATTTTCTACTGTGGTGGGTAAGATGTCCTTAGCTCATCCCTTCAGACCTCAGAAGGTGATTAGGGAGGGGATGGGATAGGATGGAATTGGTTAGAGGTTCTCCCTGCTGGGATAGTGGAGGTATAACAATAGGCATTTTTTGAGGTTGAAAAGAAATAGAATAGGGTTTGGGGTTAGATGGGAAGAATAGATACCTTGCCTAAGATTTCAGGACGCAGGCCATTGGAGGCCTTGAGTAAATCAGGATTTTTCTGTATCCATTTGGTGAGGGAGGCAGCACCAGCAGTTGTACGGGATGTCAGGGTCACCCGAGCAGGGGGTATCTTCAGAGGCATTTGCCAGGTGCCCATGAAGGAACCCCAAGGATTTGCCTAAAAGAAAAAGGGATTCTTCAGCAAGGCTTCTCGCTCTCAGGAACCTATTGGCAGGACTGCTATTCATCTAATATCCACTCTTTACTTTTGGGAATTCATGTAATGAAACTAGACTGACAGCATAATCTCCCCACTCTTCATTTTCCCCTTCCCTCATTTAGGTTACCCTAAAAATTTTCATCCCCTTCCTTCTGCCTACTTAAATTCTGCATCCATAGGCTAAGTGTGGCAAAGAAGTACCGACTACGCAAGCATCACCGGAAGGCATTTTTTTATACAGATTATTCATCAGTTTAAGGACTTCTGGGTGCTATACACAACTCTGTGCTGTTGGATAAGCTGGCTGGAAGTTTGGGGCCTTTCATGTTATAACATGAATTAGATTGAGCTTTAATTTTCCAGATAGTGACTGTGGGAGATTGCAGATCTCCTAGTTCTATGCCTCAGTTCTTTACCTTTCTTGATAGGAATGGAGATGGGTATCTCACCTTGGAACGGGGCACTGAAGGCAGTAGATGACCACGATCATTGGCGATAATCTGAGTGTAGCCTTCATGGGAAGAGATGCTCTGGGGTACAAATGGGGGAGAGAAGTGCTTGTGAACGAAAAAGAGGGAAGTATCCAGGGGGCTTGAATTAAGGATGTGATGAAAAGAGGATATGGGAGTTTAAAGAAGGCTAAAAAGGAGTTAGGCTACAGAGTTATAGAGAACAAGTCCATGGGAAACTGGACTTGCAGGTGCCCTGAACATGGAATACCTCTTTTGTTGGCTTGGCAGGAGACCAGTTCTGCAGATACTTGGGTGAGAAAGCTTTTTCATACTGTGGAGAGAAAGATAAGAATCCCCGTAAGGCTTGAAGGCCCTAAGTCCAGGAAATGATGACTAGGCACCGTTCTTTAGATTTGAAGACCGAAGGCCTGAACAACCACGTAGTCTTTAACTCAGTTACACCCATAACAAGGGTGTAATCTGTGTGCTGTCTAGCATGGAGCTCGTAGCCACGTGTAGCTGTTGAGCACTTAAATTCTGA